AAAAGATGATTGGAAAACGGCAATTAATATACATTTGATGATATTGGTATCGTGATACCCGAATAGTGTTAATAATAACGGAAAAGTGATTAGTGTTACGTGTATATTCTCTAAATAAAGATTATTTATTAAAGTGCGTAATTTAGTGATTTCGCGAGTGTAGTGAATTTGTGAACATTATTATTAGTGTATTTTATTTCTTAAAACCTTGGTGCCCACAGTATATAACGTTTTGCATTGTGAATTGGTATTATTGATGCAGATTAAATAACGTTATAATATATTTATTGTTACTGTATTTATGTCTGATTGATGAATGTTGTTATATGTGACTATTTTATGTAACTGTTAATAAAGTTATAGTTTAAATCTTAAATTGCCTCCGTTATTTTATTCTTTAATCATTCTCTACTATTTTCGCCACAAGCCGGGCCCAGGCGAACTCAAGTAACACCCCTTTTAGAGTTAACAGGCCAACGCTCGAAGAAGGGGTTCGTTACACATGTATATATAGCATTCAAAGATCAATCTTAAAACTAGACAATTCTTTAACTACATAACAGATTTCCCAAATACACCTGCAAAAAGAAGCTGATGATATACTCTTGTTCAATCGCAAGTAAACTATCAATAAAGTCATCTTCCCTTAAGCAAAAACTAAAACACTATACTAATAGAACCGTCAGACAATTTTTTTAAATCTATATACGAAAATCTTAAATACATTGTAGTAAAAAGAATAATGATTTATAATTCATGTTTTACTATACATATACCTTTGTGTGTATTACAAAATTTCCAGACATATTTGCCTATTTCAATATGAAACAAAAAACATTTGTTTATTTGTTTCTCTTGCACACACCATGGCTGTCTCCAAACCGTAAAATAAAAACATTTCTTGAGTTCTAATTGAATTTGCTTTTGTTTTCAGTGTTTTTTAGTTATTTTTAAGATTTCATCTGCTTTCATTGTTTTTTGAGTTTTGCTTTAGCTCTGCTTTATTCTAATCAGATTTTTTCTTTTGCTTGTCTTTTGTAGAGTCAGATTCCTCTTCCTCCTGGATGGGGGAAGATGTTCTAAGTTTTGCAGCAGACAACTTTTTTTCAGGGCCTTCAACAGATGTCATTGGTCTCACTATATCTATACCAGTTAAGCTTACTTTTGACTTTGCTTGATGTGTGATCTTTTCTATCTTTTCATACAGTCTATCAATGCCTTTCTGAATGTCATCAACAGCATCTACTATAAGTTCTATCTTAGAACTCAATGCTTGTTGGCGCCTTTCTTCACGCATGGCTGCTTCTTCATCAAGCAACTTATCTTTTCTCAACAACTGTTTACCTTTTTCTAACAACATCTTTTTTGCCTCTGGATATTCTTCTAAAGCCTCCCAGAGATCATTTTTTGTTAAACAAAATAAGTCTGAGTAGCCAACAGTTTTCACACTTGCCGTTCGTCTATTACCTGTCTTGTTTCCAGCAATGTTTAATACACTTATCTCACCAAATACTGCCCCATCACTGAGGGTTACAAATATTATCTTTCCATCCTCTGATACAACTTGAAGCTTTCCACGTTTTATAATATACATCTCTTTACCTATGTCCCCTTTTCTACATATGAAATCACCTGGACTGTATACTTGAAGTTTCAATTTTAACACTAATTCTACCAGTAGACCTGGTTCACAGTCCTGAAATATGGCCACTCTTCTCAATGTTTGCATGTGAACATGGATGGAGATTTCTGCTCGAAGTTTTTCTGGTAAAAATTGTAATGCCTCCTTATCATCAATAGATTGCTTATTATTCCATGTATAGTCAAACCATTTAATAACTCTGTTTTGAAGTTCTTCACCTATACCTCTCAGCTCCATGTATCTTTTAACATTATCTACTCTGTTCTGAAATTCATTTCTAGCAGCATCCATGTTGTTTATCATGGCTCCGACATTACCAAAAATTGTAGCAAAGATTAACACACCCATTAGAGCACATGTGAAACAATACAATGTTTCTGCAGGAGTAACAGGCCACATGGTATCTCCAATAGTTGTCAGTGTAAGGGTAGACCAGTACAAACTGAATGAATATTGTTTACTGAAAGTGTCAAAGCCTGCACTCTCAGGATCTGGATAAACCCAATCATCTGAACCAAAGCCAATGAGTTCACTGATATAATAGTAACAACAACCATTCCAGTGGATGATGATGATAATATACAGAACTAGATTTGAAACACGGATAAAATTTGGAAAGTTTGTATGAGTCTCTGCCATTTGAAAAAATTCCTTTAACCTCCAGATTTTAAGCATTCGGTTAAAACGAAAAATTGCGCTGTACGGTTTCCAGATATAGCCCACGTCTGTTGGTAAGATACTTAGTACATCTATAGAAAACTTCCAAGTCTTAAAATATCTTGTTGTAAGCCTCTTCACATCCCGGACAAGCAATCCTTGTTCCAAGTAACCTTAAATCATACATAAACATGCATTTATTAAATAATTGTCTGACAGTCAACCAAGATACATGTACATGTTTATGCAACTTTTGTTTTCCGTTCATGTCGCACCGACACAGTACTGCTTGGGGACCACCAAAACCGGACAACCACCAAACCCGGAAGGCCCCAAAAATGCTTAATTTATTTTTTGCCTTTGTTCATTGGTTGTCGATCTATCAGTCACTTTTTTAACAACAATAAATGCAATTAAGTAATTAAATTTATTTCTACAGTAATATTTTAATGTCAACTTCAAGACTGTTGATGTTGAAAATTTGGGCGTTAAGAGTGCAATACCTGACCTTATATACCATCTATAATCATTTGCAGAGTAAAGAATAGAATATCCAAAATATCAGCATTTGCTGCTGAAATATTGTTAATCATGTTAAAAATAAAAAATTAAAAAATGAATTAAATAGCATCATGTACATATCTGTCCGGACACATGGTACTGTAGTGTAGACAATTTAGGTAATTTTGATACCCTCCTTGACGAGCCTCAGATATTAGTGTCAATATATTCAGAAATAGTCAAACTAGTTTGTTAGTTAGGAAAGGAACCTAGCTGTACTGTGTCAAATTTTCAGGTCTCTAGGTTTGAAATTATGAAATCTTTCTGGAAAAATGTTCAAAAAGTGTCCGGTTGATGGTCCCCGACCAGTAAAGGTCATTTGGCGACTTTCCAACTTGACTAGTGGAGAAAGATATTGGGTGCCCTTCTGTGCATTATTTCAGGTACAACCAGGCACCTCAAGAGTAGAACCACTAATGTTATGAAAGCTAGCTGGTTAGCTTCCTAACATGAAAGAATTAAAATTCCCAGTCAGAATCAGACCCACGGGGGTGGGGTGAAGTTAACTACCTTAACAACTCTGCCACAGACACCCCTTGAAAAATAGACATTTTGCTTTAAAGTCCCTTTCATATAATCAATTAAATAATGATATAAGTTTCAACTAGTAAAAATACATTGAAAACTGATGTGAAATATTTAACTAACAAGAGGGCCATGATGGCCCTGAGGTCGCTCACCTGTATATAGGCCCCCGGAGCGTGGGCCAGTTTAAACCCAAGGGCTTTTATTTGAACAAACTTGGAAGTAAGAAGATGTTTCATGCTAAACATCTAAGCTCTAGCTCATTGGGTTTTTTAAAAGAAGATTTTTTAAGTTTTCACTATACACATATAGTTAAAAACAATGACATCCCTGGGGCGGGGCCAGTTTTGACCCCAGGGCTTTTATTTGAACAAACTTTGTAGACACTTACTAGAAGATGTTTCATGCTTAATATCTAAACTCTAGCTATTTGGGTTTGTTCAAAGAAGAATTTTAAGTTTTGGCTATACACATAAAAGGAAAATCAATGACCCTCCCCCGGGCAGGGCCAATTTTGACACCAGGGCTTTTATTTGAACAAACTTGGTAGACACTCACTAGAAGATGTTTCATGCTTAATATCTAAACTCTACCTATTTGGGTTTTTTCAATGAAGATTTTTTAAGTTTTTGCTATACACATATAAGGAAAATCAATGCCCCCCCCCCCCTAATTTTGACCCCAGGGCTTTTATTTGAACAAACTTGGTAGACACCCATTAGAACATGTTTCATGCTAAATATCTTAGCTCTAGCTCTTTGAGTTCTTTAAAAGAAGATTTTTTAAGTTTTTACTATATGCATATAGGGAAAATCAATGACCCCCTGGGGCGGGGCCAGTTTTGACCCCAGGGCTTTTATTTGAACAAACTTGGTAGACACTCGTTAGAAGATGTTTCATGCTAAATATCTTAGCTCTAGCTCTTTGGGTTCTTTAAAAGAAGATTTTTTAAGTGTTTACTATATGCATATAGGGAAAATAAATGACCCCCTGGGGCGGGGCCAATTTTGACCCCAGGGCTTTTATTTGAACAAATTTGGTAGACACTCACTAGAAGATGTTTCATGCCAAATATCTAAGCTCTAGCTCTTTGGGTTTTTTAAAAGAAGATATTTAAAGTTTTTTTCTTTCGGTTGCCATGGCAACCAGAGTTCTGCATGGAATTAAATTCTTTGAACAATTTTTAAAGGTGACCACCAAAGGAACATTCCTGTGACGTTTGGATGAAATTGGCTAAGTGGTTTATGAAAAGATGTCATTTAAAGTAAAAGTTTACGGACGGACGGACGACGGACGGACGGACACCAGACAAAAAGCGATCACAAAAGCTCACCCTGTCACTTTGTGACAGGTGAGCTAAAACGTGAATTCACTGATGTGTATTTGGTTGTTTTTAATGTGAACACCATTCTGAGGCTACATAAATACATTGTAATATAAGAAATGACAAGAAAAAAATTCTTTCATTTCAATTACAGTATACTTGTATTTTCTGACCCTGTTGTACCTTTTACAAGAACAGATGTCCTATAATGTATACATTACTTCTCATTCATTCTTTTGTTGCACTAACTGAGTACATCTTACGAAGTTTAACAATCATTTATCGAAGATTAATATATTTTGTGCATTGACCGTGTAATCAGTATGCAATTGACAGGTTAATAAAATCAAACAATAACTCATCTATTTGCCACTTTCTGTGACTATTAATTTCATTAGACCTTTATAGGAAAGTAATAAACCAATCAATTATGCAGTTTAAACATTCAAGTCATTCAAGCATGTTGATAGATAAAGATCTCTGCCAAGCCCCCAGACAGGAGATTAACAACTGGATGGTCAACAGCAATCAATGTTTTGATAAGGGAGTACACTACAGCCGATAAAGTTTGAAACTGACAAAAATATATTCCAGCCCAGCTGGTAAACGTATCTTTGGGCCGAGCTGGGGGAGGCTGCAGCCCTGAAGCCCGGGCCTGAATCCAACACTGACCAAGTTTGGTGTCAATAGGCCAAAGAAAATTCTAAATTTCTATTTTTAGCAACAGTGACCCTGACCTTGATCACAGAGTGAGACACCTGGGAAGCAGTCCCAAGCCGCCTCTTGATAACAGCTACCCCATACCAAGTTTGGCGTTAATAGGCCAAAGCTGAGTTTTTAACAGAAACCAAAAGTTGATGCCCTCCCGCCCACTTCAGCAATACAATATCCAGTTTTTGTTGAAAACCTGGTTAAAAAACCCACCCAATACATGTACATTTAACCTTTTACCCCATGAGCATATTGTGAAAAATGGCCGTTTTCATTGAAAAGCCTCCTGTTACAGGTTCAAACTGCTATGAAACTAGGAAAAATGCTTCAATACTGATGAAACTTGGCACAAAGGTTTACTAGACCATAGCCTCTGTAACAGCATGCTAAATCGTAAATTTCCTGTACCATGGCAATGGGAGGACGTCTCAAAATTGCCAAAAATTACTATTTTGCATTGTTTTTTTCCATCAAAACTGATTTAAAAGTGCTGCAACTTCTCTGTGAATTGTGATCGAGTAAAAGGCTTTTCAGCGTCGGTTACTAGTTACCCTAAGATCGACCTGAGGCCATTTTAAGCCTGTCACATGTCCAAAATTTTCTTGGGGATGAGGGTGACTACTGCCCCCCCCTTCAAACCCCCAAAACAGAAGAGGGCACATTCCCCTACAGAAGGGGGCACATCCCACTTCTGAGAACCCCCTGATGTACCATTTTTATAGGGGGCGGCACCGAAAAAGTGGTCACTTTTTTTACAACATTTCTCAAACGAAAAACAGTGTTTGGGGCCTAAATAGGGCATTTTTTCACTGTTTGAGGCCTCAAAAAGGGGGGGGGGCACGGGGGCAAAAAGCCGTCAAAAAAACTTCTATATGAGGGAAAAGGTTAAATGGTTCTTTCAATCTCCACTTGGCACATAAAATAATTTGCCTCATAATATATATCTTAATTCTAAGAGGTTTTAAAGTGTCATTTATATAATGCTATACTTCCCTCTGTTTGTGCACCATATAACAATTTTCATTTATGACAGTAAATGTTTTTTTATTAATTGACACAAATTACTATTTCAAATTACTCACCTATTCTAGACTTTATAAACATGTCTATAAGGTAGATAAAATCACATATATAGTCAAGGACGAACCACAATAGAAGAAGTTCTGGTTTGTGTGGCTGTGGGAAGACACACCTTAGTACAATAAATAATGTGTTATACAGAACTGCAAACATTACTATCATTGACCAGTAGAAATAGTTCTCATTTGATGGATCTACAACAACTGTCTTCCAAAATCTGAAAATTAAAACAATAAATAAGTGAAAAGTGTGATAGTATTTGTAGTTTAATGGAACTACATTGAGGTCCGAAAACCATAAGATTTTAAATGTGATGATTTAATTTGTATCTTTTATATTTCTACAGATTTAAATTATAACTGTTACAATGTATCTAATTAACAACAAACTTAAGAACAACAAATTTTATGGCATCCACAAATTTGATGAGATGCCCAACTAGACATGGTATTGATTATTCCCCTAAAGTTTTTTGATAAATTGCATCAGTAGTTTCTGAGGAGAAGTCCAGACAAACTTCTGTGTGGCTCACAACACAAAAAAACCCACCTTTTTTATTCAAGGGCAATAACTCAGCCAAAAATTATGTAAGTGAAAAAATACTTGACCTACCATCAATCCCATAAAGTTCATTTAAATTGCATTTGTGGTATAACAGGAGTAGTCCAGACAAACTTTATTAACACCCATTTTCATTCAAGGGCCATAACTTGGCTAAAATCTTTAAGGAGGAAAACCTGTGTAATATTCGCAAGTACTTGACCTACAAACCAATCCTGTAAAGTTTCATTGAAATTGCATTAGTGGTATAAGAGAAGTAGTCTGTACAAACTTTAAAAATAAAATTTATTAAAGGGCCCAGTGATTTTCGTGCTTATGTAACAGACTCCGATAAAAGGCCTTCTCCCAATTGAAATTTTCTTTAAAATCATGCAGTTTTTCCAAAAATCTGAACTTAAACATGCTTTTTTACTTCCAAAATAAGCAGTTTTAGCGATTATTTTCCTCAAAATCATGTGGCTAATTAATGTCTCTTCCCAATTAAGTGCAAAAAATCACTGGGCCATAACTCTAAAAAAATCATTGAACCGGAAAATGCTGATAATTTGCACAACTATACTTGGTACTGATAATTCCTGTAAAGTTTAGATGAAATTGCACCAGTAGTCTATGAGGGGTAAGATCGGACAAGTTTTGTGACAGATGGACAGACAGACAACAGAGAAGTGATCCCTATATGTTGCCACTACTCCATAGCGCCATTAGAGGCGACACAAAAATGTTTGCAAAACAATGAACATATACGCCAGGGCTCTTCATGATGATGCTTCTGTAAAATGTTTAGTGAAAAGTGCTTGAGGAATGTAGTTAGAGTTGAGAACAGAAGTGTATTTCTCTGTCAGGGCCCTCAATTCAGTTTGGGGGAAGTGGGTCGCTACCCTCAGCAGGGGGAATTTTTTCATTTCTTTTTTGGTCAAATTTCAATAAACTACCACTTCAATATTAGTGTTTTATTCATACATAGTTATAATTTGAGTGGTATAATAATTATCTAAACCTCAGTTACCCCCTGAATTGTTTTTTTGCTAAAAAAACCCCAATCAGATCAAGTTAAACAGATTAACATGACACACATAAAGAAGTGTATGAGCAAAAGAGTAAAAATATATTTTTGACACCAGTGAACTTGACCTTAGCCCAAGGGACCCTAATTGTTACCAACAATTGTTCTACCAACAAAATATTAAAGACATCAATAAAGACTGCAATTAAAGCAAAAACATAAAAATCTATTTTAAGCACATGAGACCAAAAGACCCCGGCATTTAACACCATCCACAACTAAATAAAAAATACATCAGCAAATAGCTTAAAACTGTAGTATGTGCAAAATGGTTAAAAGACACTACGGTACCTTGACCCCAAAGACCCCAAATCCAACCAAAATTAGAAGACCACCAATCAAACATATCTACCCGCCCTCATCACAGTATGCTCCCAATATTATTATTATTTTAAGTAAAGGAATAGAAACAAACTTACTTCTTTGTAAAGTAGTCTTTGAAAGTATACACTACAGCCTCATTTTCTGCTGAAAATGATCTTCCTGTGACAGTAAATCTTTCTAAAAAAGTATCTTTCTCAGCCGCTGTCTTCTGGATCTAAAATGGTAATCAGTTTATACATATTAAGTCCTTTTTTGAAATTGTTTCTTGGTATTCTTAGCTTGACTTTATAGAAATATATTGGGAGAGATATCTTACTCATTTGTTTGTTGGCGACCACATCTGAGCATAACACGCTTGTTAAGTATTTTTTCAGCTATCCCACTCTTTTACAGAACCGTCATCATATTATGCTGAAACTTAACACTTGTTCATAAATTTACAAAATGTAAATTAATAAACATTTGCCCTGGACAGTAACTATTGTCCCCATATTTTTGCGATGGTGGACATTTGCCCCCTACAAATTTTGAAGGGTGACATTTGCCTGCCCTCCCTGTATTAAAAAGTTTGGTCAGTGATCTTAAACAAATGTTGGTCTTACTTCATGCATAAGATCATTATTTTTATAACCTTCTGTTTACCAACCTGCCGACTGTTGAAATGAAATATGAAAAATAAAATCTAAAAAACAAAAAAATCTAAAAAAAAAAAAACAACGAAAAAGTTAAATATACGAGTAATCACACTTCAGGGCGAGTGAAACCTTATGAAAGAAAATTTTAATCCAAACAATGCTTGTTTGAAAGTAACTATATCTGTTTTTCAGATTTGAAAAAAGATAATTTTAAAACAGATTAAACTAGAACTGCCACTGTCATGGCGTGAATACCCCCGCATACCAGTCTTTGTCAGAATCAACAGTGGCCATTTAGAGCTCAAGGACAAACTTCCCTGCCAAATCTGAGGTTACTAAGCCAGTGCATTGCTAAGTTATGTATTCTACATGCTTCAAATGTGAAAATATCAAATCAATACACTGCGGACAGGCATTCTTAAGCAATTGAGGGGAAAAACTTATTTTTTTGTCAAGGTCCCTGTGACCTTTGACCCAGTGACCTCAAAATCAATAGGGGTCACCTTATGGTCATGATCAACCTCCATGCCAAATATGAAGACTGTGGGTCAAAGGAATCTTAAGCTAATGGGCGGACAAACTTTTTTAGTCAAGGCCCCTGTGACCTTGACCTTTGACCCAGTGACCTCAAAATCAATAGGGGTCATCTACTAATCATGACTAACCTTATTGCCAAATATGAAGACTGTGGGTCAAAGGAATCTTAAGTTATTGGGTGGACAAGCTTTTTGAAGTCAAGGCCCCTGTGACCTTGACCTTAGACCCAGTGACCTCAAAATCAATAGCAGTCATCTACTAATCATGACTAACCTCCATGCCAAATATGAAGACTGTGGGTCAAAGGAATCTTTAGTTATTGGGCGGACAAGCTTTTTGAAGTCAAGGTCCCTGTGACCTTGACCTTTGACCCAGTGACCTCAAAATCAATAGGGGTCATCTACTAATCATGACTAACCTCCATGCCAAATATGAAGACTGTGGGTCAAAGGAATCTTAAGTTTTGGGGCAGACAAGCATTTTGAAGTCAAGCCCCCTGTGACTTTGACCTTTGACCCAGTGACCTCAAAATCAACAGGGGTCATCTACTAATCATGACTAACCTCCATGCCAAATATGAAGACTGTGGGTCAAAGGAATCTTAAGTTATTGGGCAGACAAGCATTTTGAAGTCAAGGCCCCTGTGACCTTGACCTTTGACCAAGTGACCTCAAAATCAACAGGGGTCATCTACTAATCATGACTAACCTCCATGCCAAATATGAAGACTGTGGGTCAAAGGAATCTTAAGTTATTGGGCAGACAAGCATTTTGAAGTCAAGGCCCCTGTGACTTTGACCTTTGACCCAGTGACCTCAAAATCAATAGCGGTCATCTACTAATCATGACTAACCTCCATGCCAAATATGAAGACTGTGGGTCAAAGGAATCTTAAGTTTTTGGGCAGACATGCATTTTGAAGTAAAGGCCCCTGTGATCTTGACCTTTGACCCAGTGACCTCAAAATCAATAGCGGTCATCTACTAATCATGACTAACCTCCGTGCCAAATATGAAGACTGTGGGTCAAAGGAATCTTAAGTTATTGGGCAGACAAGCTTTTTGAAGCCAAGGCCCCTGTGACCTTGACCTTTGACCCCGTGACCTCAAAATCAATAGGGGTCATCTACTAATCATGACTTATCTCCATGTCAAATATGAAGACTGTGGGTCAAAGGAATCTTAAGTTTTTGGGCAGACAAGCATTTTGAAGTCAAGGCCCCTGTGACCTTGACCTTTGACCCCGTGACCTCAAAATCAATAGGGGTCATCTACTAATCATGACTAACCTCCATGTCGAATATGAAGACTGTGGGTCAAAGGAATCTTAAGTTATTGGGTGGACAAGCTTTTTATAGTCAAGGCCCCTGTGACCTTGACCTTTGACCCGGTAACCTCAAAATCAACAGGGGTCATCTACTAATCATGACTAACCTCCATGCCAAATATTAACACTGTGGGTCAAAGGAATCTTAAGTTATTGGGCGGACAAGCTTTTTGAAGCCAAGGCCCCTGTGACCTTGACCTTTGACCTGGTGACCTCAAAATCAATAGGGGACATCTACTAATCATGACTAACCTCCATGCCAAATATGAAGACTGTGGGTCAAAGGAATCTTAAGTTATTGGGCGGACAAGCTTTTTGAAGCCAAGGCCCCTGTGACCTTGACCTTTGACCCGGTGACCTCAAAATCAATAGGGGTCATCTACTAATCATGACTAACCTCCATGCCAAATATGAAGACTGTGGGTCACAGGAATCTTAAGTTATTGGGCGGACAAGAAAAAACTGACGGACAGCCGGACATTCTCACAGGACAGTAATTATGTGGCTACTCTATTGTTCTCTCTATTGTTCTTTTTAGCCACGCAAAAGAAAATAGCCACATAAAAGCATTACGGAATGAATGACATCAAAGAGAACCTATTGTCCTTCTAGCCACATAATTACTCTCCTGTGAGTGCAGACGGACAGACGTCCGGACAAGCTGATTCCAGTATACCCCCCTTACAACTTTGTTGTGCGGGGGTATAAAAAGGGATGTTTTTCTTATAAGCAAAATACACTTTTTAATGCACGATAAATGATCAGTCAATAATTGACACGATAATTATCCAACAAAAATATTTTTCCTCTTGGGCAATAATTAAACATGCGTAATCATTTATTGACAAAAAATGATCTGCCCCTTCAAAATATGAGGGGGCAATTTCTGCTACAGCAAAAGAAGGACGCAAACGTCAAAGGGGACATCTGTCCAGGGGTGGAGGGAGCAAATATCCATATACCTATTAAATATTTTGATGTTGATATTTGGCTGTTTTGGTTATTGAAATTACAAAACTGGCATGCAAAGATTGCTAAGAGATTTGTATACCAGAATTGCCTGTTCTACGCCAGAAAGAATATTCCGGTGTATATTGTTATGGTCCATCCATCTGTCTGTAAGCAGCTTTAGTTCTGGCTTCCAAAACTTTATAACACTTTTTTTACATTTTTAACTCGACTATTCGCAGAATAATCAAGCTAATGCAGTCACCCATTTGTCGGCATCCCTGTGGTTAAGTTTTTTGGCGTGTAAGCTGGTATCTCCATAACTACTGAAGGGAATGGATTGAAACTTCACACACTTGTTCTCTGTGGTTATCTAACATGATTGGCACAAGTCCCATAACTCTGATTTGCTTTTTTGCATAATTATGCCCCTTTTTCGACTTAGAAATTCTTGGTTAAGTTTTTGCATGCAAGCTGGTATCTCCATAACTACTGAAGGGAATGGATTGAAACTTCACACACTTGTTCTCTGTGATTATCTAAGATGATTGGCACAAGTCCCATAACTTTGATTCGCTTTTTTGCATAATTATGCCCCTTTTTCGACTCAGAAATTCTTGGTTAAGTTTTTGCATGCAAGCTGGTATCTCCATAACTACTGAAGGAAATGGATTGAAACTTCACACACTTGTTCTCTGTGGTTATCTAACATGATTGGCACAAGTCCCATAACTCTGATTTGCTTTTTTGCATAATTATGCCCCTTTTTCGACTTAGAAAGTTTTTGTGTGTAAGCAAGTATCTCCATAACTACTGAAGGGAATGGATTGAAACTAAAAAAAAATCACACACTTGTTCTCTGTGATTATCTAACATGATTGGCACAAGTCCAATAACTCTGATTGTTTTTTTGCATAATTATGCCCTTTTTCAGGCTTAGAAATTCTAGGTAAAGTTTTTGCGTGTAAGCTGGTATCACCATAACTACTGAAGGGTTTGTGCCTTTTTTTGAACAATTTTATGCATTCATAATAATAAAGCAATGATTAATTCGATAAAACATCTTAATAACAAGCCTTTGTACCTTTTTCGGACAATTTTATGTATTCATATAGGTAAGCATTATTATACTCAATGAAACACACTTGTGACAACTTTTCGAATAGTCGAGGGTTACTGTCCTCCGACAGGTCTTGTTGTTTTTCATCTGATACGGCATTAACTTTGAAATATATATAATTTAAAAAATAAATAATTATATATATAAAAATATAATGTATGAATAACATACAGTCAACTATCGTTATCTCGACATCGCAGTGTAAGAAACTCGGATTTAAATCCACTAGGCTGGTTGGACTACCAGATTGGACTATTCACTAGCCCAAAAGACATTTCACTAGCATGATTCAAAAAATCGTACAATCTCAAGAAGGGCCCGATAACCAGCTCAGGAGGATATCTAGATCGACCACGCTGAAAAAAATGTTTTCACCATAGTGGTGTATTACTGAGTAAACATCGCTATGTGTTTTTAACACAGACTCCCATATGATACATCCGCTGGTAAACATCCCCTAATATAACTTTGTTCAATATTGACTTTGCGATATAAGGCTCAAGAAAACAAGACAGGGAGACATCATACTAAATTTATTTGACTTAAGGTATGCACGGGGATGTACTATTCGCTATACTCCTATTTTGACTGGAATTTACGAGAGACCGGCAAATAGTATCACACGTTAATTTCCCGGTCTCTCTCTGT